GGCCTGGAGCGCGCGGCGCCTCGGCCGCACTGCTCCTGAGCGGAGCGGAGATGCTGAATTTGGCCAGTTCCGGTTGGAGGTTAGGACCGTGGACTGGAGGGGATGGGGAGCGGTACCCTAAATCCCTGACACTGCTTGCGCGGCTCATTCTCATTCCGCACACGCGGTCCTGCTTATTCAAGTGCTAATTGCTTTTTACAATTTACTCGGAGAGGTAGGGAGATGTGTCGGCTTCTTTAGCACCCTTCTTACTAGTCAGCCTCTCTCCTTGATAAAGTTCCAAAAAACTTAAATCAGTAACCCCCCTCCACACACACATTTTTCCACTGAGAGTGGAGGGGCCGTTTACTTGTTGGGCCAAGAAAATGGTCAAATGTTCTGATGCTTTTTAGCCTTGTCCCGCCGGGCACGTGGCTCCTAAATTTCCCGGCTGCACCGCCACTAGGACGGGGCACTGCCTGCCTGATCGCCTTTGTCCGCCAGACTCCAGTCCACGCGCTGCCCCCAGCCCGTCTACCTGGCCCAGTGCTAGGAGCTTCACAGACCCCTTCCTCTCCAGAGGTTCTCCGGATCTTGGGGTCTAGAACCCTCCCTGATCTGCTTGGATCCCTGCATGGTGGCTTCGCAGCTCTATCTGTGCAGTTAGCTCTGCGCCTTGTGAATTTTGTGCAGCTCCCTCTCCATCCCAGTGTCGTTTAGAAAGCTTCTCCCAGGCTCTCTGACCGACTTGCAAACCCTTCTGGGTTCTCAGTAGTTTGGTTGAAGAAAGGTTTAACCCTGTGCCTGGGAGGCTCCACAGTCCCCAGGGGAGATGTCGGCATCTGGGGAGCCCAGGCAGCCGCCCCTCCCCCAAGTGGGGGAGCCAGGCAGCCTTGGATAGTGTGGGAACCTTCCAGCCTAGCTGTAAAGGAACCTGGCAGGTGTCAGCCACTTAGCTGTAGGCCTTTTCAGGTTATCGGTTTAAAAGTTGGAGGCCTGGAAAAAGTGAAGCACCTTGGAGAAAGTCAGGCTTCCACCTTATCTCTTCTCTTTGATACAGTGGGCTTGCTGAAGTTGGTGGTGGTCCGTAGTTTGAAGACCTGCAGTGGAGGCTCAGTGGTTAAGAGCAAGTGTGAGAGCAACCTGTCTGATTCCACTTTTGATTCTCTATGCTGTCCTTGGAGCAGTGACTTTCAGTGCCTTTTGACCTTGACCCACAGTAAGAAATACCTGTTAGATCTGGACTAGACCAGCCCATGGCCACCTCCTTGTAACTGAAATAAGAGCTTGAGAAAGCAACAGACGGATGGTGTGCTTCTATGTGTCCAACTCTGGGGTGAGCTGGTCTGCTGCATTTTAAAAGCTGCCTTAGCCCTCTGGATCTCCAGGCTCACTTCTGGTCACTATGTGTTGAAGATGGCTGCTGTGGTATGGGCCCCTGCATGGTGGCCTGATGAGAGACAGTGCCTTTAATCAGACAGCTTTGGTTGGGAAGTAGTAAATGTCTGTAGGATAATTCTCAACTAATGACAGCACGGGAATGAACAAAGTTTTGGGTGTGTGTGTGTGCTGTAATTACAAGGCTGTGGTGTGGTTCAATTTAATCTATAAGCTACAGTTTTAAATTTTGTTTAAAAGGAATTTTTGGATAGAATGTCTTCAATAAGACTCTTTAATGCTATATTTCCTAATTTTAAAAAATGTATTTATTTATTTTGGTTTTTGAGACAGTCTCCTCTATGTAGTCCAGCCTGGCCTTGAACTCACACCGGTCCTCCTGCCTATTTCCTCCTGCCTCAGCCTCCCAAGTGCAAGTGCTGGGATTACAGGCATGCACCACCTCGCCCAGTTTGTATCCCTAGCTTAGAATAATGAGAAGATATTCCCTCTGATTGTAGAAAATTTAGAATTGTTTCACTACTTCCAATTGTATGATACTGAGCAGTTTACAAAGTTAATTTGATGGGATACTGAATTAAGAGCTTGAGGAAGCAATGGGTGGACTGTGTATCCTACTGTATGTACTAATGAGGATAGAACTCAGGCCCTTCACATTAAGCTACATCCTCAGTCCTTGTTTATTTTGAAACAGGTTCTTACTGTGACAAAGTTGGCCAGGGAGGGCTCCAACTTGTGATCCTCTTGCCTCTCAGCCTCCCAGAGTGCTGGGATTACCAGCGTGTGTCTCTATACCTGGTTTAAATACATTTTCTTTTTGGTACTGGAAATTTTAAATATATTAATTTAAGAAATAGAATTCAGTAGGTCTGTATTATGCTTGTTACAAATATTGTTACATATGTGAAATTAGTATCTGCATTGTAGTTATAGTTAGGAATGTTACAGTTTTTTCATTTTCCTGAAGAATTGGAAGGAGTTAACAGTTTAGGTTAAATGGATTCTGTACTGGCCCTGAAACTCCACAGGTCAACTATAGTAGTTTGTTTCTTTGTTTGTTTGTTTGTTTGTTTTCCATTTCAAGATTTTAAATAGTATCTAAGGAATTGCCTCCTCAAGGGGATGGTTTCTGTGGATTTGCTCAAACTCCTGCTGTTATGGTTCTGGTGGATTTGCTACACAGTAACCACCATGACATCTAAGACTTGGCTGAGAGTTGTCTAAACAGGGTGGTGACTTTCAGACTGCCCAGCTTTCTCTGTGGTTTCTAGTACCACTTAATCCCACCCCCATCCTTCCACCCCAGCTCCCAGTGATGGTGTCCTTTGCCGTGTTGGCCAGGGCTGCAAGCGTGATATGGTATTTGTGCAGAGTCTCTCCCGGGTCGGTCATAAACGTTGCAGAAGAATTTAAGTAAGTATGTGAAAAAGATGTAAAAGCTTTGACTCCTAAAGTCTTTACAATTTTAAGGAGCGGCATTATGTTTTAAATTCTGGTTTCTGTGTCAAACTTTAATAACACGAGCCTGGTTTATTCTTCATGATTCAAGTTAAGCAGTGTTCTACTGTAGCATGCCAGTCTGATAAAAGGTGTTTTATTTTGTAAGTTGTTGGGAACTTTGAAATGTAACACTTGATTTTTTTATTTTTTAACAATGTCTCACTACGTAGTTCAGGCTGGCCTTCAACTCCCTCTTTAGCTCAGGCTGGCCTTGAACTTGTGAAGATCCTCCTGACTCAGCTTCCCTGGTTTTGAGATTATAGGCATACATTACCATGCCTATACTTGATTTCTTGAATTTTTATTGTGAAATAATTTTTAAAACACATCAAGTGACCAGTACAATCCTTTTGCATCTTTTAGCACCAAGCCTCAGTGGTTATTAGGATCTTCTGCCTTTGCTTCCAAAATGCCCTTTTCTTTTTTCCTTTGTGGGTATTTTCTAAGGCAGATCCAGACCTGTCATTCCATCCCTGACACATATGTGTGCTTGCAGAGTGCAGGAAATTTTAAACGTGACCCACTGCCATTTTCTCACGGGTTGGTCATCATTTCTCTCATTCTCAGGAACATGATTGCAGTTCGTTGTTTTAGATCCTGATTTTTTTTTTTTGTACTGGAAATTGAACTCAAGACCTTACACTTGCCAGGGAGATATGGCACCACCGAGCCAAATCCCCTAGATCCTGAATTTTAATAAAAGTTTACACATAAATTTGAGTTCCTCTCTTTTAAGGCTCTTTACTGGAGCCTTGAAAGCTAAACAGCTGTTTTTAAAAGTATCTTTTTTTTTTGGTACTAGGGATCAAACTCTGGTCCTTGCTCTTGCAAGGCAGGCAGCGGAACCACTGAGTTAAATCCCCAGCCCTAAAAATATCTTTTCTTCACTTCTTAATTTTCTTTTCTTTTTCCCTCCCTCCCTCCCTCCCTCCCTTCCTTCCTTTCTTCCTTTCTGTTGGGGGTCCCCTCTATGTAGTCCAAACTGGCCTTGGACTCACTGTGTAGCCCAGGCTGCCTCAAACTTGCAGCAGTCCTCCTTCCTCAGCCTCCCAAGTGCTGGGACCACATTTCTTTGTTTAATCAGTTCTAGAAAGAGCCCTATGTTTAAAAATCCTCCTTCCTGTTTCCCTGTTCTGTTAAGGCAACTGGTTAGAGACCCATTTGCTCATGACCTTAATTTCTACACACTTAAGTGATGTTTTTGGACAGGTCTCTTTGTGTTACAACAGAATCCTGTTTTTATGTGGCACTCTTTCAACAGAAGTGACGTGGTGTGTAGAAATAGGAGTGATAATTGTGGATCATGGGT